TAGGGAAGCTCCATGTTTAGCAGTTTGAGGAACCTACAAACAGTTTTCCATAGTGGTTGTACTAGTTTGCATTCCCACCAGCAATGCAGGAGAGTTCCTTTTTCTCCACATCCTCGCCAACATTTGTTGTGGCATTTTCTTTTTTAAAAGATTTATTTATTTATGCATATAAGAACTGGGGTACAGGCTAGAGGTGTGGCGGGGGTGGTGGGAGTGGTGGGAGGATCCACTAGAAATAGTGGGGAGCAGAACAGACAGAAGTACTGAAATACACTGCTGAGGGGAGCAGTGGGTGGGTCAGGATAGGTCTGCTGTGTCATATGGGCCACCTCCTTGGCCAGGGATCAAACTTATGTTGCAGTGACTACTGATAGATTCATAGTGCTGTGCTATAATCTGTTGCACCATCAGGGAGGGCCCAATTCTGACATTTTTGTAAACACTATCTATTGGTTACCCTCACCTGTGAGATAAAGTATGATCTCCATTTCACAGGTGGGGAAACTGAGGCTCAGAAACTTAGGAAACTGAGGCTCAGAGTCTTTAAAAGACTTTCACAAGACAAAACAGATAACCCACAGACTTACAATTTAATCTAGTCTGCCTTCAAAGCTAGAACACTTTTCACTACTCTGCTACCATTTTGAGCAATGAAAGACTGTATGTTTTATATCATCTCTTTTATGATTAGAGAACTACTTATACATAATAATTGTTGAAAATTAGAAAATACGGAAAAAACATAAAGGAACATTTAAAAAATTTCCTTGAGTCTGATACTGCAAACAAGGTAGAGTTGTCTGTCTCCAAATTGGATTATGCTGGCTGATCACCTGTCTTTTTATGGAAATGTTAATATTTCCCATATCACAGAATATTTTCCTATGTGATCACTGTAATGGCCACCCACCATTCTCTCTCTGAGATGTAATGTAAGTTTATCGGATGGTAAAATTTCAAGACTATTCTCCCTCTAATTTTGGCTGTTGCAGCCAATTTTGTGATGAACATTTTTGCAGATCAATCTTTAGCTCAGTCTTTGATGAGTTCCTTAGGTTTAATTGTTTGAAGTGGAATATCTGTGTCAAAATAGCATGCAGGTTTTAAGACTTTTGATTTGAATCCTCAGATTGCTTTTTTAAAAGGTTAACCAACTCCACTTTCACACTGAAGTGTGTTTGTTTTCCTGCTTGCTGTTTTGCACCTATTAGTTTGGTAAATATCACCTTACTGTCTTCATCGGTAATCTCTTCAATGTTCATTTCTTTCCTTATGGTTGACGTTAGATTTTTAAGACACATGTATGATCATTTCGCCAAAACGCGTGAGGTGAATGAACTAAACAGGCATTGAACACTTAAAAAATGCTTCTTTGCAGCCTGGAGGTGGAAGTCTGAGAATGCATTTTTGCTAACCTCTGTGACATCATGCTGAGAGGGTGATTTACTTGCTGTGTGGTTGTGAACGTGGAGGGAGGGAATCATTTCTTAGATTTAATCACCATTTTTCACCCTCTAGGTTCTCAAAGGTGGACAGGAAGCACCCACAAAACCCAAAGGTCGCCCCAAGAAGAATTCCATCCCCACATCAGAAGAGATTGAAGCTGAAGAGAAGATGAACAGCCAGGCCCAGAGCCAGGAGCAGCATGAAGAGCCTTGCCAGGGACAAGAGGAGCTCTGTGACACCCAGGAACCCCAAGCACCTGACATCTCCTCAGAGGCAGCTGAGCCTGCAGGCCATCCCCCAGAGCTGCCTGCGGCCCCTTCTTCAGAATGCCCACCATCAAGCTAAAATAAAACTCTTTGTGGGGAAAAGGGAGGAAGGGAAGAAGGGGAAGAGAGAATAACCTGCAAATGCCTGTCCCCTCCCTCTCACTGTGCTCAGTGGCATTTTTACTGCAAGCATGTGAAGAAGACTTGCTTGCCTTAGGCCTTTCTCTGCTTTAGCCACAGGATGCCCTTCATTAAGGGAGACAGTGCCTTGGACCTGCCTGCTCCAGCTGGGGTGACGACTGGGAGGCCTGCCCACACTGCAAGCCCCACCTTGGTGTGCATTCGGGGTGGGGGGGGGTATACCTGCTTGCTCGGTGCCAGCGCCCCCCTGGGCAGCCAGTCATCAAAGCAAAGAGATTCGGAGGCACTCGTGGGCAGCAAGCCCAGGTTCCTTGCTGATTCAGCACTTAACTTCTGTAGTTCTTAAAAGAGAATTTAATGTTTTTGGTTGTTGCTTTTTTTGTGGGGGAGGGAGGGTTGGTGAGGGTGGGCACAAAAGAGCTGGGGAAAGGGAGTTCTGAGTTATTAGCATTGTTTCTGAATAAAGTTTGTTTGTTTGAAGACACGAGTGCCTTTGTACCCATTCTAAGATGGTCAGTGATCTAAGAACTGATAAGCCTTGTTTTCCTTGCTTCGTTAAATTGTCACCCCTGAGGCTGCAATTCAGGTATGTTAAGATAACTTTTATTTTTTAATTAAAAACAAATCTTTCAAAAGGATGGGGTGTTCTGTGTCTTCTGGGGGGGGGGTATATTTAGACCTTCCTGAATAAGTCCTTTGGGGAAAAAAAAGACCCAGAGACATAGCCCCTCTTGCTGGGCTGACGTTTCCCTGGCTGAAAAAGAGGAGACTGGCTTGCTACCTGGGCCCCAAGGCAAATGGAAGCTTCGAGATGCCTGAGGAGAGAAGAGGGCAGCGTGGCTGTGGCTCTGCCTCCTCACCCCCGCTTCCTTCTTCCAGCAGCTTCCACACTGGCCTTCTGACTTTGCAAACTGTTGTTCTTTGAAAATAAAAAGCAAAAGCAAGCGCAACTATATTACTTTAAAAAATGATAATAAATATATATGCTTTAAAAGTCAAAAGATATAAAAAGAAATCTTGCTTTCGCACCCCTCCCACCCCCTAGAAGCAACCCCTTTTACTGGCCTCTTGTTTTTCTTCTTGATTAAGTATCCATTTGGGTGATGGGCTCCACAGCCTTCAGAATGAAGACTTCTGCGCTACTTGGCTAGACACGCTGTTCTGTGATTTTAAATTTTAAATGATGTCCCACTGATTTAATAAGACCAGGCAAGAGGTTGAGTCCAGACTTTCTAAAGTGAGTGCCTGCCTCTGTTTCTTGTCTGATGGACACGCAGAGGGGCCGGGACATCCGCTCCCACAGGGCCTGCCTTTCTCATCACGTCCTGACATGTTGGCTGGTGATACCCTTCTTGGAGACTGTCAAATATTAATGACTCACTAACTCTTCCCAAAGTGGACTCGGAAATATAAACTGACTTTAATTATGGCCTCCACAAGAAAGCAAAATCTGTTTCTGGTCCTGTAAAACACATTGTACAATTCTTTTCAAAGTTAAACAGGGATGACCTGCTCGTGTCTAGCAATCCGCCGACTGTGTCTCTCCATCGACACGGACAACCAGAAAAGGGCTGCAGTTTTGACTTTGTGCAGGCCAAGCGTTCATTCCCTTTGCTTTGGAGATGACAAAGAGAAAGCAGTCTTTTCTTCATTCTTGTGAATAGACAAAGGAGGAAAGGACGTGGCCTCCGAGAACCAGTTTGTGCAAACCACACCCAGAGGCCTGTGCGAGGTTTCTTCACCCAGCCAGCGTGTGTGCTTGCCTGCACAGAGCTGCCTTCTTCACCTCTAGCCCACCCCAGTTTTATGATCTTCCTACCGGTGCTGTCACAATGAGCCAGAGTCTCCACAATGGCCACAGTAAGTGGCTGGGTCCAGGCCAGTTTTGTCTCCCTCTGAAGGAAGTGTTCTGTCCTGTGCAGCCCACCTCAGACAGCCCTTTCATTTGGATGCTATTTCCTACAATGGTTTTCAGGCTCTTGCCTTGGGTTTTCACATGCTGTTTTCTGAGGTGCAATTGCAGTCCTACAGATCTGTACACGCGCTATTCCTCTGCCTGGGTGCCAGCAGAGTTTCTGACTTCTAGCCCATCCTGGATCTGCTGTCCTTGATACTGGTTCTTGGTTTTGGGGTTCAGGGTGTCCAGGGGAGGACTTCCTGTTTTGGAAGCCCTCAGTCCAGCACCACCTCCACTTAGGAGCCCTCAACTTGTAATCTGATCAGCTCCGCATGACTTTGTCCTGTGACTTAAAAACGGGTTCAGGGGGCCCTCCCTGGTGGCGCAGAGGGTTAAAGCACAGCACTAAGAAGCTAAAGCCACTTCAGCATGAGTTCGATCCCCGCCCTGGAGGTGACCCACATGGTGCGGCAGACCTCTCCTGGCCCGTGGTCTGCTCCCCTCAGTGTACTTCGTCAGTCAGCCTTTTCTGTGCTCCACTGTGTCTCTGGTGAATCCTCTCACTGCCCCTGAACCTCTGGCCTGTACTCCAGTTCTGTATGCATAAATAAATAAGTCTTAAAAAAAAAAAAAAGGGTCAGGGCTGGGTCAGAGAGGCCTAGTCCTGCTCTTCTTCCAGTTCCATCTCCCCCTTCTCACTCAATTTCCTAGACTGACTGGCAAATCAATTCCACAAGATTTCTGTGAAACGTGAACAGGAGAGCTCTGTGCAGAGTCTGGCACAGGGTTGTTCAGTGGCCCCTGATGCCCAGGCTTTCTCTTCATGAGGCATCACTTCCTCACTTTCTCAGCTTCCTTCCTCCAAGGCCTCGCTCCCACCTGTGGCATGCAGGATAGTGATTCCTGAGGGCTCAGGGTGTTATTTTACGGTCTGGTCACCTCCTGCCTTTTGATGTGCTGCAGTGAAAGAGAGGACCAAGGCCAACTGACTACTTGAAGAAGCTGGTTATGTGGAGACTTGCCCCGCTGTCTCTTCTGCAGGTTCGAGAGCACTTTAACAAGCACTTTTAGTTGCCACTGTGAAGTGGGCTGTCTCTTCCAGTTTTACAGGAAGCCCTGTTGTTAAAGACAGTGGTCACATAGCTGGTTAGGAGCCCTACTGAGAACCGGGCCCAGGGACCAGATTCCCTACAGAGGCCTCCATCGTTAGCCTGTTTTTTCTTCTGCCACAGACACAAGTCTGTGCCTTTTCAGGGGGTGGTAGCAGTGAAAAAACTTTCAGCCCAGACTGTTCTCTGCTCTTCAACTTTGCTCAGTGAAAGTATTTGGAGGGGCACCCCTGGTCACCCAAGGTGAGTCAACTTTTCTATTAAAAAAGGACGGGTTCCCTGGGCAGGTCCTGGGCTTTCAGTAAGTGTCCAGATGTGCCTGCCTCTGAGAGAGCTTGTATTCTGTGTCACTGTGCCTGCTGACTTACTGCTCCAGTCTACAAAGTTTTGCTGAGACTCAACACTCACACCTAGTTTGACTCAAAAAATAACCAAACGAGTCTCACGCTGTGAGTCTCGAGCCCTCAAACTAGTCTGAACAGATCTATCGGAAACCAACCTTCACTAGGCTGGTTTCTCAGAGACCGGTCACTTCTAGTACTGTCTCAGAGAGGGTGTGTGGGGGCCCCTGTAACCCTCCTCTCCCCAACCCCCAAAAAATGGCAATTCCAGTTCACTTGTCCTTCTCATGACCTTCCTCCTTTATTCTTGCCCCAGGCACTGGGCTGGGCTAGGCTGGGGCTGGACTGGAGGCCAAGAAGCTCCTTCCTCAACCAGGCTTTGTCAGCGGGTGGTGTGTTGTCTACTCAGCAGAACTTGAACAGGGACTTCACAGAACCGGATTAAAGACCTCCTTAAGGAATCGACTCCAGAATCTCTCCTTCCTGGGTCCACCACTAGGTGAATGCTCGAGCCTCTGGTGATAATTTACCTAAATCATTTCTTTTCTGTCATGGTTGTGTGTGTGACTTTGAAGTTGGAATCAGAGCTAAAGAAGAACTGCTCGGGAAGAACTTTATTACTTTTTATTTATGTATGTATTTATTTATAGAAGGTACAACTGGTAGCCATGCATATTTTAGTGCGGATGCAAGTTTTTATTTTCCTACTATGATAGTCCATGTTGTGTTTTTATTTTATTTTATATTCCCACCACCATCTTTTATACCCCTCTGGCCCTTTCTTGAACTTCCCCTTCCTCTGGCCTCAGAAACCTCACCTCATTTATTAACATCCATTAGTTTGTGTTTTCTTTGCTGAATCATCCGTAAAGGTGCACTCTCTGTCATTCTGTCTTGCCTTACCCTACATCATTCCCTCGAGCACCTTTACTCTGCTGCAAATGGCAACAGTTCATCTTTCCTTATGGCTGAATAGTGTCCCGTTGTGGGTGCTGCAGAAATCGTATCTCCCATCATACTTGAAGGCTCCTTTGATTGATAGGAAATAATGGGAATAATGGGGGCAGAGAGCTGGAATGTACCCCCCCCCCACACACACATACCCACACACACTCATATACATGGTTGTCAGGATTTCTAGATACTGAATGGCCCGGGTCTGCCTAAAGCCCCAGGAAGCTGCCGTTGCCCTGGGTCTATAAACCTGCCCTCATTCAGAACTCCTTCACTGTTCCGCCCTTTACTGGGTGTCCCTTTGGCTTCAGGCACAGAAACTTCTACCAGTTGCACCCCATATACCCTTTTTTCTACCTGCAGGGCTTTCTCTCCCTTACCCTCCTCAGCACAAGAGTTTGCAGCCAGTCACCCCTTCCTGTTTCTCCATTGACCTACCTCTTCTCCAGTATAACCTGTTCACTTCTCTCTTACCTCTTCCTCTTCATACACCTTGTGGTCTTTGTTATTCTGGTCCTGCCATATTTTGTTTCAGTTTTGTTTCCCTCTTGGAGCATAAATTCCTAGAAGCTGTTTTTCAGTTTTTATGTTCTATGCTGAGTGGCTCAAAAGGTCCCAAACCGGCATGCAGGGAGTTGGGGTGCTCCTGGCCTCCTGCTGACTCCTTTCTTGGACAGCATTGGTTTGTG